TCCCTGCCCGTCTGCTGCCATGCTTCTTGACATGATGATCACTCTCTGAAGCGTCAAGCAAGCCCCTCATTATATGCTTTGTTCTTACGAGCTGCCTTGGTTATGGTGTGTAACGTGTAGTCTTCCCGCCAGCTGCCCGGGTCCCACTGCTGTCTCAGCCCCCAAATAACACACACAGGACACTATATTAATTATGAAGCTGTTGGCCATTTGCTATGGTTTCTTAATGGCTAGCTCTGACTTAATTATTAACCCATCATAACTAATATATAGTTTTATAAGGACTTATCTTTCCGAGGATGCCAGATTTGCGCCCTTTCGTCCTGGGATCACATGGCGACTCTCTACCCTTGACTACATTTCCCAGAATCCTCCTCGACTCCTAGTCCCACCTATCTTGCTTCCCTATTGACCAACAGTGCTTTATTTATCAACCGATACACAGAAGGACTTCCCCCATCAATGGTATCTTATGACAACCATGAGAAGTGACTAAGACAGGTGTCTTTCAGCATCTCCTCCACAAAACCACCTTTTCCTTAAAGAGTTGCCCATTCCTGATGACCTGGGTCTCCCTGATTAGTATACTTTGGCAGTGTTTCTGTTACCCAGCTTTCAAACCTTCAAACACTTCAGCTTTATCTGAGGTGTCTGATAGTAAAGGGAAGAAGAGAGAATGATCAAGAGTACAGTTCAAAGACGCGAGCATGACACGGGAGGCATACTGAGCGAGGAGGTTAACACTGAAGCTCGAGGGCAGCTGCTGGAATGAGCCAGCCCACACTACGCTCCGTGGCGGGGCTCCTGAGACATCTGCTTGTCATCTCCTACAGACACAGCACAAAGTCACTTTCCAAATACAGAAAGTGCAAGTGTAAATATGCCTATATAAAAACATAAGCTCATCTACTAATAACAGGAAAATTCTTTCAAGTTTGGGACTTTGGGAAACAGAAACAGTAACTCTAAAAAAATAAAATAACACCTCACCTCTGAGACCCCCAACAGAACTCAGAATCCTACCAGGTGATTTTATGTTGATTTAATCTATAGCCCTTATTTTAATGGCAGTAACTCACTCATTTCTAGCCTCAAAAGGAAAGGATTTCCTAAATTACTGCCTTAAATAAATTGTTATTAAATCTCAGGATCTCTGAGATGGGCACACTGGTCAAAAGCCTCCGTTTCTAAAGGCCCCCGGACAAGAGCTGGACTCAGAGAACCTGAGGACTGGCACACTGAGCCACAGAGTCACCTGCCTACCCCACCCGACCTTTGTCACTGTTGCCACTTACAGAACTCCCCTGGCCTCTCCCAATGCTCTCCAAACCCATAACTCTTTTTTCCATGAGCAGCTAGGACGACCAGGCTGACATTAAGAACTGAGTGGCCAAGGGTGGAAAATGGGCAGAAAGATATCAGGGAGGAAGAGTCCAGTACCTTTCTCAGGCCAAGCAGTCGTTGGAGCTACTAGACACATGTAATTGACATACTGCAGTGCAATCCTTGCATCTTACCTAGAAACCAGTATTTATATCGATAGTACCTTGGGGGAAAATGAGTTGCAGTCTCCAAGTGAATCCCACTGTTGTATCCTGACGGCTGTGCACACAATGCCAGGAAACTGGTTTGGAGCACTGAAACCTAGCTTCTGGACTCACCATCCAACCCTTGCTGGCTGTCTGTGGCATCGCACTGTCACTTCTTTGTCATCTTGTGGAGTGACAATGGATATATTTTTAGGCAGCAACTTTGCTGAGACAATATTTACACCAGCTGCACTGAATGACGACGATCTTTCTTTCGCAAAGGTTAAGGGACAAAACAACTCTTTATAGGCTTAAATGGACCAATGGCTCTGTTCTTCTCTCAGTGACTATTCAAACTCATGCTCAGAGTCCAAAGCCAACAAAGAAACTGTCACCAAAAGATCCAACAATACAAATACAGACTCGCGTCTTTGGCTGTGGCTCCACGCCTGCACGGTACAATGCCACTGACATTTCAGTCCTTCCTTTTCAAGTCTGATGCTCACTTACTCTCTGTTCCCACCTGCTGCCCCACAGTCACACACTGCCAGCATCACCAGGACTAACTGCCTCTGTCCCAAGTGTCTCTGTCTTCCAGAACCTTCCAAAACATCACTTTTCTTGAGGCAGTATACATGAAATGGCCCCATCTCATAAACTAGGCTAAGCTATCAGTCTCTTGGGCTGCAGGCAGAGAGCGAGAGGTCCACGAGGAGGTGGTGGCTGCAGTAGGTAGAGTGGAGTCTGTAAGAGCCTGGATGCCCAAGTCTATCCAGCAGTCTGGTAGGAAGTAGGATTTTCCACGTGGGTACTGTTTGGTTGGCCTTAATTGTCAACTTCAAACAGCCTAGAGTCATGGGAGAAGAAACCCCAGAGTGAGGAGGAACTGTTTTTATCAGCTTGGTTTGTAGACATGTCTCTGAGTGATTCCTTCATCTTAGTTGATATCGAAAGATCCAGCTCACCATTGGCACTACCATTCCCTGGGCAGGTGGTCCAGGGCTATAAGAGGAAACCAGCTAAACACGAGAGTAGGAGAAAGCCAGCAAGAAGCCTTCTTCCATGGTTCCCGCCCTGACTTCCCCAGTGGTGGATTGGTCCTGAAGGGTAAGTTGAAATAAGCCTTTCCCTTCCCTAAGTTTGCTTTTGGTCAGAGCGTTTTCTCACAACAACAGAGACACAGACTGGAACAGGAAGTAATGAGACTCCTATAACTAGAAGATGGCCAACAAAAGGACCATCAAGAAGTTACCCTTGGACCACAGAGGCTATGACCCTACCCTCCACCAAGTGACTTGGCTATAGGAGAGGGGTCATTGTAAACGAGGCTTGGGGACAGTGGCCGGAATCCCCCACTGTGGGAAGCCTTGGCACTCTCAGGTTGCTAATGACCTCTGCGTCTACGCCAAGCAGTGGGAGCCTGTGCCCTGGAGCGTCCCCTGCCCTCTCTTCTCTTTCAGTGTGTGAACTGGTGACGTGTTACCTCAGATCAGCTACCTCAGCTCTTCTTCCCATAGGCCACTCTGGTCTTGTGCATGCTAAAATGCCAGCCCAGTGGTTCTCGAGTTTTCTAATGCCGTGACCCTTTAATACAATACAGTTCTGGTTCTTATGGTGTGGTGACCCAGCCTTAAAGTTACTTTCATTAGTACATCATAATTGTTATTTTGCTACCGTTATGAACCATAATGTAAACATTTTTGGAGATAAGAGGTTTGTCAAAGGCGTCGTGACCCACAGGCTGAGGCTAAACAGCCTCACAATTCACTCTTAACAGTGGGTCTCCTCACACGCCCAGGCTCTTCCCTAGGCAGGACATAGCAAAGGCCAGATGAAGAAAAAGGTCACAAATTCTGGTCACAGGTGCCCCTCACAGCTATCACATCTGCTCTTAGTTATGCTAAGATCATTCTCTCACTGTCCCTTAGGAGCCCCCAGAAATATGGATTGGACCTTTACTTCCTGAGCTCTTCCGGCCTCTACCACAATTCTTACGTTCTCTACCCACCCCAAACAAACTTACACCTCCTTCTCCAAACTGCTCTTGGCCCCGTTTTCCCCTTTAAACACCCATCACCACATAGCACACGCTTACTCTTAGCTTTCTGCCGTGGTTACCTCTGCTCCCACTAAAAGGACTGAGGAGAGGAAGGCCTCGGTCTGCTTTGCTCACAGCTGTAAGGGCAGGGCCTCGCCAGCACCTAGCAGACATAACATTCTGCATGCTCGCCTCACAGGGCAAGACAAGTGTTTCAACACGAATACACAGTTGTGCCGGCAGCACATGCTTGCATTATCCCAAGTCACACAGCGTCCTTCCCAGTCCACGTTCCTTATCCCGGGCATGAAGTCTACAACCCTAAACATGCACAGTGCCGACACTCACCCTCCCGGCTTTCCTCACTTTGCTTCCTTTGTCCTTAAACCCTTCTCACCTTGGGATGAGCTGCAGCCATTTACTGTGACATATTCCCAGAATCCCTATCACTTGCTACATCCAGCAGTGCACCTACTCACATCAAAGCAGCCGCATCACACACAGGAAGGACGGCAAATGTCTAATCTGTACTCATTCCATACGGACATAAACGCAAGCCCACACACCAGCGTTAAACTGGACGCCTAATAAACCCTCCCATGATCTTTTTCAAACACCCTGAAAGCTGGTTCTCAACACAAGCCACAATGTTTTCAAACAGAAGACATGAAAAGCAAGGCATCTACTGTAGAAATCGTTACCCACTACATTATTTCCCTAGCTCTGAGAAACACTGGCTAACAGACAGAAGAGATGAAACAAGTGACTAGAGCCGTCAAGCCTGGTGCTGTCCCTGATTATGATCTGAGGCTAGCACTAGCACCCAAGGTGCAAACTCTGACCTGCTCACCACACAGGACTGCCCTGAAGAGTAAATAAGTTGATATTGGACTATTCTCTAAACTTCAGCAACTGTCAAATGAACAGCATAGTGTCTAAAAGGGGGGAAGTTCTTGTACTTATTCCACAGAACACAGGGAAGCTTAACACGTGTTATTTTAAGATATTTATTTATTCATTTATTTATTTATTTTTATGTGTGTGATTGTAAGTGTTGTGCTTACTCTGAGAGAGGGAGAGAGAGAGAGAGAGAGAGAGAGAGAGAGAGAAAGAGAGAGAGTATATATGTGTGTATTTGTGTGTGTTTGAGTGTGTGTTTACTCTGGGTGTATGTTTACTGAGTGTGTGTGTTTACTCTGAGTTTGTGTGTGTTTACTCTGGGTGTATGTTTACTGAGTGTGTGTGTGTACGAGCACAGTGGCACAGACCTCCAGAGCTGACTCGCAGGCCGTTGTAAGCCCCTGAACCCGGGTGCTGGAATTGAACTCGAGGCCTCTGCAGGAGCACAGGTGCTGAGCAGTCTCCTTCCCTACCCCGAGAAGCAAGCACAGAGGGAAAGGCGTAATTTGACACAGACATATTTTGGAGTTTACCTTTGACTGTATTGTGCGCAGGTTAACCAGATGGATGTCACAGGGTAAAGATGACTGCAGCAGAGGCAGCTCACTCAGCAGCTGGACGGCGGGTGACGAGAGCTTGGCATTTAGTATCATGGGAAGGAACGGATGGTTGAGGAAGGAGGAGGTCAGGTGGCTGAGGAGGGAAGGGTAACTGACTGGACTCTTCTGGTCCTCTTCCTGTCAAGAAAGACAAAATGTGCCCATGAGCTTTGTGTTGGTAGCATTCACCAAATTAGTTCATTGTGTGACAAGTTTAAACAGAAAAACACACGGGGCTCCGAGGTGTGTGTCACAATGACAGTCACAGAGAGTACGCAGTGCAGTATGGAGCATGGAGGCCGATGCAATAGTGTCCACTAACTCATGCTTTAACCACGCCCTCCATCTAGCTAACACCGAAGACACTGAAGACAATCTCCACTTTTTTTGATAATTAATAGCATTTTGTGGACTCCTGACCACTACAAAACCTTCAAACCCTTCAAAGTACAAGAAACATAATGTCCCCCATGTCTCACACAATACTGACTTCATCACCCCCTTCTCGAGGTTCAACCCATTACATTCTCAAGAGTTCACTTTACACGTTTAACAAGGCATATATGGATCTAAATCTATATTTCATAAATGGTAAAAAAAAACTTTTGAAACCTAAACACTACCAATTGACATAATTAAAACTAAACCAAAACAAACCAGCTGGCTGTGTTGGGACATGCCTATAATCCCAGCACTGGGAAACAGAAAATAGCAGCCTTAGCTAAATAATGAGTTAGAAGCCAGTCTGAGCTATATGAGACCCTACCTTAAAATATAAATATATATATTTATTCTCAAAAGAATCTGATGTGTTCAGGACATAAAAACTAGACATATCTAGATCATCTGTGTTGTTTGAATTTGGCAAGTTATGGCCATCTTTTTCATTCTATTTTATTTTAAAACAGGAACTATTCTATATCTTATTATATAGTTACTATACATTTACACAGTACCCTTTTACACCGCAAAGTTTAAAAATACTTCAGTCTTTGCTAGGACATATCTATTCTTACTAGGCAACATTTCTGCATGTCTAACATCAAATAAGTCTAGCAGGGTTAGGGACATAGTAAGCAAGATGACATACAAAATTGAAAACTCAATGCCTAGGTAGACCCTTAGCTAATAATGCCCAAGGAGTAAAAACAAACATGAGAAGAACGGAGAGGAGAAAATGATTTATGACAGGCCCTTTGATCACCAGCTACAGTGCATGCAAGTTTAATTTTTTCTTTTTAATGACTGATATATTCAGGTTTTGCATCTTTTTGTGTGATGCAGGACTCAAAGGTCTGGCTACCTATCTGGTGAAAAGACTAAATTCGTAAGGATCTGGAGCTCAGAATTCAGAAGGTCAGAGTAGCACTGGACAGGAGGGTGCCAGCAAGGCTACTCGTACTGTACCAGAAGCTCAGCTAACAGAGGACTCTTTACAATCTGACCATGGAGAGGAAAACACTTAATGGCATCAGAGGAGCACTTCAGTATTAAAATGCTGGCAAACAATTAGTTATGAAAGAACTGTATTAGAATGTATCAATTCCCCATCCTTTTCAACATAGAGATTAAAAAATTAGTTCTGAAAGAACTGTGTATTAGAATGTATCAATTCCCCATTCTTTTTAAAGTAAAGATTAAATAAAGCACCTAAAATAATATTCTCCAGCAATACTGCCATTTAGTATAGCTTGTAGAAGAACATGACTAAAAAGGTGACATTCTCAACAAGGCATTTAAATGGACTCCCAGATCAAACAACTTTATAATCTATGTCAGGATTGCTGACAAAATCAGTTTTGAGTAATGGAAGATGAAAGATTGCAACAGGAAGGAAAAGAGCCTTATCAGAGTCAAGAGGCACTCAGTCATCCTCGGTCAGGATGCACTCAGGTGCTGTGCTGTACCGGGGGACCCTCGACACTGACACTCAGTGACAATGAGAACTTCCCTGATAAATCACCTACTGAGAACGCTATGCATGTACACCAATCCTCCAAGTCAGACGGGTTCCCCGGACCCTGGCACTTCCCTTCTTGGGGGACTTTATAAAACCCACTCATGGGTCCTAGCCCCATCTCCAGAATCAAGAGCTCCAAGTATGCGCCTTGGCAACATAAAGTTGAAACAGTAAAATATAAAGCAGCAGGTAAAATCCAAGGATTGCTCTACAGGTTGCTCTGTGGGCCTGATCTAGGAAGGCACCATGGACTCTCCCATGAAATCAACAAGGTTCAGAATCATACATGCTTTGACAAAATCCTGTAAAAGGAAACTGGTTTTAATGCAACTAGTCACAGAATTAAGGACAGACAGTTTTACTGTTTTCAGCAAGACAGCGAGTTAAGAGAAGGGTATAGTTAGTTTCCTCCACAAAAGCACAGTGGGTAAATGACAGTGCTGACCAGCAAATAAATTCTCAGCCAGCATCCCCCACACATGTATTTTCCAATACTGACAGTAACAAGTGACCCAGCAAGATGTTCATAGATGAACTGCTACCTTTTGAACCCCCTAGAAAGGCAATCTTCTAAACTCCCAAGTCTTGCAAGAAGACCAAATTTCTAAAGCATGTGCTGGAGAAGTGTCACCTGTTCAGTTCAGCTACAAGTGGGTCTGCAGCCGTTCCCCTTCAGTTACCAATAAGGCTTCTAAAAGCACCGTTTGGCTTCTTGTTGTTTGGAAAGTTCTGGATTATGGGAGTCTAGCATTTTTCATACAGCTTGACATTAAAGAGTTCCCAGCTTGTGTTGTTCCAACCACACAGAGTTGAAACCTTCTTGTTTGTGGTGGTTTGGGATAGCAGGAGGAATTCCTGTATGAAGCTCACTTGGGTTATCTGACCTTCAAGCATCAAAGGTTTCCCCTCACCTCATCAATTATGTATAAGAAGGAGGTCTTCAGTTATTTCTGCCTGTCTGTTTGTTGGTGGGGGTGTGCTGTAGATAGGACCCAGTGTCCGGTGCACATGATGAAACTCTCTATCCCTGTAAACAGCCCAGCCTATCGTCACTGGAGAAAGTCATCTTTGCTTACTCATTTTGTCCTGACCCTCAGTAGGGCCTAATAAAAGTGTGTGGTAGTGAGTCTATTGATTTAATAAGCCATGTTTTGTAGGTCTGCATGGCATTGAAAAGTTTTTAGAAGCTACCTCTTTAGAAATTCAGATTTAAAAAGCATCAAGCATGGGCAACGTGGTACACACTTTTAAATCCCAGCACTTGGGAGACACAGGCAATTGGATCTCTGTGAATTTGAGACCAGTCTGGTCTACACAGAGTTCAGCCTGCCAACACTACATAGTGAGAACCTGTCTCAAAATACAGTAACAACAAAAACAAACACAAAGCACCCCCCCTCAAACCTCCCGAAACAGATATTTGCTTTTTGACCAGAAACTAGAATTCTGAGTTACACTGGACCAGCATTCCCACATAGAAACCGTCAGCTGGAGTTGACATGGAATGCTCAATGGGATATATGTCATCAAATTTACCAGAGCATTCTGGTTCCCACTGACATGAACATTTGCTCTTAAACCTGGTAAGTGCTCCATGCTAGGGTTTCCTTATGTGAGGAGAACTGGAATCCAGGGGCATGTCAACACGGCTGGGACACTCGCAAGGCTTCCACATCACCTAAGGTCCTTTTCTATTCCAGCCATTGCCAGGAAGGGAGGAGGTGCCATTCCGTAGGTATGTCAGCCAACAGCAGGGACACTGTCTCCCCTGGAGCCTCACACCGTGTCTTCACGGCTCTGCAGGAGAGCCTGAAGGCAGCGCCCACTGCTGGAGTCTGAGTGTGAGGGTCTCTACCTTCCAGCCCTCTCTACCATCACTATTCTGAACATCGGAGCAGTTGGAATTAAAAACACTCTAGAGGAGTTAAATCACTGCATACGTAACATTTGGTGATCAAGTGTCTTTTAAATCAACTTCACTACAAATTAAAATGTATATTTTCTTCTCTAGTTCATTTTTTTTATTTAAAAGAATCTATGGACTCAAGCCCTAAAATCTATAGTTAAGCAAAAGAGAAATTTAACTAACATAGGTTTATAGAAATATTGAATCAAATTTAAATCAATTGCTATCCTAGGAGTTTTGGATGAAATCAACAAATTGTTTAACTTCTAAGTGAAAGCTTTATACGTCTGAAATGAAACTTTTATTGTTGTAGTAAACACAAGTTTTGTATGTTAGTGTCAATAAGGAGAGAAGAAACCGATGCAGTTTTAGCTCTTAAAACTGGGCTATCTTGTCAGTGATAAAGGTCAGAGACTCAAGAGCTGGTACAAATTTTAACTTCTAAAAATGAATGTTAACTATTGTTCCTAATTAATCCCAAATACTGTAAAACAGTTTGTTTTAAACCCTGTTTTCATCTCATCTATCGATGTGTTTCTCTGTAGACACAAACTGTCTTCTGCACAGGCAGAGGCCCCATGATGCCTGAAGACGAGGTGGACATATTCGGGGTGTCTGGAAGGATGACGCTCCTGAGACAACACACAGGAATTCCAATACAGCACAGGAGGCTCTGCAGCCTCACGCCCTACACATGTGGGCACCCACTTACGGGGCACATCCGTCCTTCCTCTAACACAAGTGGCCCTAGAAGCAGAGGAGGACACAGCCCCGCTCTCACAGGATGCATGGACCAAAGCAGGAAAGAAGACAGAGGTCAACCAATCAAACACGAACATGACTGGGAGATGGACAGCGGGGGGGGGGGGGGGCATAAGAGGAGATGACGTGTGCAAGGAGGAAGTACCTGGCCTGCAGGACTGCTGAGGGCTCCCTTGACAGGAAGGAGGAAAGGGCGTCTGCAAAGACGCCACAGAGCAAGGGGCCCTGGAGAAAACCAGTGAGCCTACAGCAGAAGTGCTGGGAAGCACGTGAGATGCTTAGGTGACAGAGACCCAAAGGGAGGGGCCTACAGGCCAATGGTATATTTTTGGCATCAATACTGATACCAATGAGAAGACCGGTAGTTCAGCTTCTGCCCCACTGATCAACAAAGTGAAGGGGTTTTATATATGGCAAAAAAACAAAAACAAAAACAAACCAAAAAAACTGATTTGAAAGTCATAAAGTCAGTCTGTTTTCAAACCATAAGCTTTAGACTATGATATGGTCAATAAGGTTTAGAACACACTGTATGCAGGGTGATGGTAGCACATGCTTTTACTCCCAGCACTCAAGAGAGAGAGGCAGAGGCAGGAGGATTTCTGTGAGCTTGAGGCCAGCCCTGGAGGCCTGGTTCCTAGAGCGAGTTCCAGAACAGGCTCCAAAGCTACAGAGACAAACACTGTCTGAAAAACACAAACAAAAAATAAAATAAAAAAGAGAGAATACAATGTATAGTTGAACACTAATAAATAGTATATTATATTCTGTAATTCTTAGGTCAATAGATCAATCTTTTCTTTGAAAATAATCTCACCCAAACGACTTCCTTGAAATTATTTTTGGCTATGTAGTAAACAAAAGGAAAAAACAATATAGCCTAAATGTAGCTCTTATTCAATGTTTCTAACTAAAAATTTTCTATGAATATAAACTAAATCTATTATAAGGATATCTCAGTATTAGAAATTGGATTAAAAATTTAAGTTATCACTTTGAACTTTGGGGAGAAAGAACATAAGAAAGGCTAGTTAGTGTTTCCTACCATGTTCACACCATTTCTCTTCTCCAGCAGGATTCTAAACAAATTAGCTGTGATCTTATTATCATGTACGCCTTGCCCAAGGCCACGATTATCATCTTGCATGAGTCTTCGATCCATGAAGACTTCGATTTGACCTGAAAACAAAGAGACAAATCTGACCAAGATAGTTTTATGCAGATAGTCACTGAGGACCATTTAAAAAGAAACCCAGGTGCCTGGCTTTGAATTAAGTTCCCCTTGCATGAAGGACAGGATTCAGACACGGAGATGACAGGTCAAAGTAGCTACTGAAATACACAAAACACTTTATCATTCTGCTTTTCTCCATTACTGCTTAGAAACCACTTTCCAACAGCATCATGGCTATGGAAGCAAGTCTTTTGAGGGGATAGGTCATAGAACCACAATCCAGGAAAACAACACTACAGCATCACTTTTGTAAATGTAGGCAAGCTGTCTAAGCTTCCAGAGTTTGAGGTTTCCAATCCAATAAATCATGATGACAATACACATCTCTGAACATGATAGACGAGCAAAAGGAAATTACAGCTGTAGTTTGTACATGAAAAGTTTCCAAAGCCTTCGTGTTGGAGGCCTGGTGCCTAGTTATCAGGGCCACTTAGCAGTGACTAGATCGATACTAACTTCATTGCTTGTAGGTAACTCGCTGATATGAGAATGATCTGGTACAAGGCAGGGCCTGGCTGCAGGGGTCACTGGTCCAAAGCCCGAAAGGCAGGCCCTGACCTCAGTCAGGTGGGCTCTCTCCCCCTCCCCCTCCCTCTCCCTTTCACTCTTTTTCCTAATGCCACGCTGTCAGCTCACTCCAGTTTAAAGTCAAGAGCCATGTGATTGCAGCCAGAAGTCAGAGATCAGAAACCACAATGTAGCTTTCTTGCCTGATGGGGGAATGTCCTCCTGTACATATGTTTCTCTCATTGGCTGATGAATAAAACACTGGTTGGCCAGTAGCCAGGCTGGAAGTATACGTGGGGATACCAGATGAGGAGAATTCTCGGGAATGGACCCAGAGAGAAACCACCAGGGAAACGCCATGTAGTTCCCGGGAAGATAGATGGATGGGCATTCTCCAGTAAGATAAGGCCATGTAGAAATACATAGATTGATAGTTATGGGTTAATTATTAAGAGAGAGCTAGCCAGTAAGAAGCCTAAGCCATTGGCCAAGCCGTTTATAATTACTGAGTCTCTGTGTGCTTATTTGGGGCTAAAGTGGGACCAGGCAGGACAGAAACTTCCATCTACACTTGCCTGAAGTTGTTTCGGGTATTTTGTCACAATGAAAAACTAATGAATACACTTATGTCTAAAAACAACCGTGGCATCTCAATCTCCTGCTCTTTGTTTGAAGACTGAAGACAGTCACCTCATGTAGTCCCCATAAGAGCCCAAGTTAACTGCTGGTGGGACTCAGAGGAGAGCAGCTAATGGGAGCATAATTAATATATCTGACCACAGAAATATCACTCACTTAGAACTAAGAGCTTTGAGAGCAGAATATGAAAGAACACATACCAGAAGCCAAGCTGGCTGTGCCTAAGGACTGAGCCGCGAGCAGTGTGAGCCGGTGTTCAGCATCCTGGATATACGACATCGTGCTCATCGGGTAAACATTGGCTTGAAGAGGCAATTTGCTCATTGTCCTTCTAGGTTGAATCTACGAAGCCAAGAAATTCTCATTTCATCAATGTATTATTTACACATATACTTTCATAAATTAAGATTATTTAGTTATCTCTTTCCCAAAGAGAAAAAGGCGTAACTTGTGTTCTTGTCCAAGCAAAGAAATATTTAAAAATTAAAACACTCCTTAAAATCATTTGCAGAGAAATCACAAGGCTCTTAGAAGACAATTTTAAATATGAAAGGTAGAACTTGTCTACATTTTAAAACAGGCATTATTTAAAGTCACAATAAAAACTGCCCAGCAGAAGTCTTGTAGTTTCCCATATTTGCATAAAACAAATTATGAAGGTATTAAGTATTCATTTCTCATCTAGATCTAACATGCTGCTTTTGTAATGAATGCTAAGCACAATAGCTCTCTATCTCCATTCAAGAACTATCTATTATTCTTGAATCAGTTTTAATAAATACCACATCGCTTGCCACCAAATCCTCTAACATATTACATTATAATAAAGTACATACTTATAGTTTAAAAAATTCAGTGTTTACTCTTGTTTATTTTAAATCAAGATAGTTCTAAACTCCGGGATTTAGCAGCCTTGTGTTTCAATGAGTGAACTAGAAGTTTACCTTTTGAGTTGCTGTCAATACCTGAAAGCATTTAATATCCTTGGGACCCTGTTATTACTGGATTTTACCCATACCACTTAAAAATGCCATTTCCTTCTTTAAACTTGTCAAAGTTTAAAATGAAAGCCAGAAACAGTAAAGGCAGAAAGTGAATACAGTGGGTCACATGATCTGAGTACCCAGCAGAGGAGGGGTGGTCCTGACCAGCATGTCCCAGACCTAACCTTCCGGATCCCCAACAAGCCTCAACCAGCTGCTGGTTATGCTGAGTCTCTCCAAGCTCATATTTACCTATGACTTGTGAGGCTGATCTGACTCTGACATAAGTGTCTTTCAGAAATGGACTTGACCAAACCTAGTATCTTTGTAAGAAAGAAATGTGGACACAGAGACACATACAGTGACAATGTTAGAACAACATGTGCCAACAGAGGAAGGGCTGGGGAGGCATTTGCACAAACCCAACGATGCCAGGGACCACCTATGTGTAAACTAGAAGCTAGGAATTGGCAAGAGAGGGTGCTTTCTTAGAGTCTTTACCAGGAATACAGCCCTGCACACAGCCCGACTTCAGATGCTCAGTTTCCAAGAGAGTGAAAGGATAAAGTTCTATTTTTTGAAGATGCCCAGTTTGTGGTAATACAAATGCATGGCAACTCTAGGAAAGGAATACAGTTGTCAAGACAGGGCAGAGATGGAGGGGAGGAGGGGAGAGGAGGAAAAGAGAGGTGCTGAGGGACAGAGGGGTAGGAGGGGAAGCTGGGAGGCAGGAGAAGGAGGGAAGCAGGGGAAGGAAGACGGGGCGGAAAGCAGGTAGGCAACCATCAAAGAATCCTCTATTGCTCCTAATAACCCTCTCTTCGCACCCTGGCTGGACTCATCTTTAAAGTTAAGAAACAGAGATAAAGATGCATGCAGAACTGTGGTCTTGCTTTCCTTGCCTCCTACCTGGGAGTCTCTTTCGTCTGCCCAAGAACTACTATGTCCACAGGTTAAAATAGGGTTTATTTTTAAGAAATATTTATACTGTAGACTTGACATGATATCAGCATCTCGTTTGATCATTGGAAAGAAGACAAATATTTTTAGCAATTTACTTTTGACTAAGTTTTCTTATTCATGTGTACACCAATATATACAAACACTTATTTCTGTGAGATTTTAAGAAAATTCTTTTATACGTAAGAAAAATAAATCACCATACAGTCAGAGTTTCATTTGAAAACCTAAGGGCTAGATTAGAATTAGCGTGTTAATCAAAGTGTACTCTGCAATTTCTGTTCTCTGGAGAAGATTTAAATTTAACTTTTTTTTTTTGCAGGAAATCATAGAAGAGGAAATTATCCAGCCCTTTCCACTTATAGCCAGTTGAAAATCAGACCAAGTAAAAAGCATATGTTGTGAAATTATTGCTATTCATAGCCAGGAATTTTTTGAAATGCTAATGTTTAAAAAATATGCTCATGCTTTTAGTGATATTATCAAAGACACACTGTCACACATTCAAAATAACAGAAATGAAGATGACAATCCAAAGGGCCCTCTTAAGTACTATCAAAAGATCAGCAAAATACAAATAAAATGCAACAATTAAATTTCTTACTGCATTTATAGTTGCTGTATGATGGCTTTGATGACATGTATAGCAGTGTCCCCCTCAGTGTTAACAGACTCAAAAACTATCATAAAACTTAAAAGATGTCATTATTATATCACAAGGAATAAATGACATGTATATATTAGTTCTTTATGAAGAAAAAGGATGTTTCTTCGTAACTATGCCTCCTTTCTAATAAAGTGTTTATATTCATCAAATTCTCAATTTTAAGGATTTTAAAAACATTTGTGTGATGGTGTATATGTAGGTGTAGGGGTGTGTGTGTGTGTGTGTGAGTGTGTGTGAGACAGAAAGGGAGACAGACAGACAGACAGACAGACAGACGGACAGACAGACAGACAGACAGGTTTATATGTACCATGTGCATGTAGATGCCCATTCCAGTCCCCTGAGACTGGAATTACAATCAGTTTTGAGTACCTGACATGGGTGCTGAGAACTGAACCAGGCTTTCTTTAAGCTAGCCCCCTAGCTTTGAAAAAATAAACTTTTACAAATAGATACTCTAAAAACATGATCTCTCTCAAAGATTTGTTCTAACTTTGGGAATCTATAAATGCCTTAAAATTTGTTTTCATTTTAGAAATAGTTTTCTATTTTAGGAATATTTTTCAAATGACTCAAAATTAACTGGACAATTATCCTCTACAAAAATTATACACATGAACATATACATCCCCTGTATATACCAAATAAACACGTGCATAAAAATTACAGACAAATACAACCATCATAGAGAAAGTTACCTGGTATCCATTTAAGTCAGTATAAAATCTATTTTGGTTGTTTATTTTCGATGAAATTCTCATAGCAATCTCACGGTTATGCACATTTCGAATGTCCACGATGTTAGAAACTTCTATCGACTGTCCTTCTATTCCTAAATGTAAAAGAATATATACATTAACAAAGTAATTATTTCCTCCACACTTACTAAATGTAGAGATCTCTTCTCAGATTTACATGTGTTTTCCTATCTTCTAATTCTCAACCATTCCTCATGCATGACATGGTGTTAAAAAGTTAACATTTTTCTTTCTTGATAGCAGACTGTAAACAGCATTTAAGAGTATATGCAATTCCGACACAGGATGAGATACATCAGGACTATAACAAGCCACGTATTTCTCAATGAGTTCCGGGTTGGCGGGGCATGCGGTGAGAGAGACCAGGCCCCTGCACACTGGCCCTCCCTCACCTGTGACTTTACCCTCTCTGTAGACCCTAGGATGAGGAGCCACCTCTGTGTTGACAACTAGCAAACTCTCTAACACGGTGAACTCCATTAAAAAATGAAGGAGGAAGAATTGAGTACCGCCCCCCCCAAAGGAACCCAAAAGAACTGATTGTATGCAGAAAATGACACCTCAAGAAAGGAGTCTCGGGTGTGTAGTGTCTGTGGAAGAGGGTGCACTCGGAGCTAACTCAGGCACTGCGGGTGTCTGTAAATACATCAGAAATTACGGACCATGTTTTAGTAGGGGTTTCTATTGCTGTCATAAAGCCCCATGATTAAAAGCAGGCCAGGGAAGACAGGGCTTATATCGGCTTACACGGGCCTATCACAGATCATCACGAAGGGGAGGACAAGAATTTGAAGCAGGAATCTGGAGGCAAGAGCCACGGAGGGTGTGGCTTCCTGGCTTGCTCCTCCTGCTTTCTTATAGAACCCAGCCACAGCAGAGGGGTAGCAGTGCCCACAGTGATCTGGATCCTCCTGCATCAATCATCAACGAAGAAAATGTACCCCAGACTAACCCACAGGCCAATCTGGTGGGAGTACTTTCTCAATTGAAGTTCCCAAGTCTGTGTGAACCTGACATGAAACTAGCCAGCACAGACTATAAATAACAGTACGGCGCCGAGGGCAGGAGACAGGCCGCAGTCTCCACCAACACAACCTGCAGACAATCACAGAGCTTCTCTCTGACACAAGTGGCTTCTTCAACTCAAGCACTGCTCACGACGCCAACCTCAGTCCCTCACTTGCTCTCAATGAATACAAAGGTATTCATTGGCCACAGTCAGAACTACGAACCAGGCAGCCTAAAAGAAAGAATACCTCCACCACTATTGACAGGTTAAATTAACACGTGTGTCTGTCCGTGTGTGCGCGCACGTATGTGTAAGTGTGTCTTTGTGTGCTCCTGTGTACGTGCATGTGTGTATTACATAGTACAATAGAGTTTTCTTTGAGCTAGGACATACATCAACTCCAGATGCAAGCATTACTTTTATTATGTTTACAGAAACCAGAACGTTCTTAAACTAAAATGAAAGGCATGTGGAATTCTAATAAACCTAAGGCACCCAAATACAGAACTTGGGACTTGGGGTATAGCTCATGCAAGCTTAGCCTAAGTGTGACCCTGGGTTTAATCCCCAGCACCCCCAAACCCTCGTTAGATCCCTCAACAAAAACACAAATGATCCTGTAGCTTGAAGGAGCATAAATGGTGACAGGAAGTTAACTATAGTTGTGGGGAGCGCCTGCAGGATTTTTAGTGGTGATTTATCCTTCTTTCTCTCTAGATGAGACGTCCTCTCAGGGGTCAACAGAATACATGAAATAAAATGAAGTCTTAACAAGAGAGAACATCATTAATTTCAATTCATGTCTCTACAGAAAACATTTACAAAGAACAGGCTTTAAGGAAAAAATTAATAATTTCATGTTACCTCTGGCAATGATAAATTATTCCACCCAGAAAGCCATCTTTCTCAAGCCCAATACTATGCTCAAACCCCGTTGTGGCAACAAATCCTTGAAGCCCCTTAAAAGGAGCCCTTATGGTCATTCACAAATCAGCAAGGCCTTCATTTAAATTCTGAACCAGGACAATGTTCTAAAATAAGATCAAATTTAAAATGCCTATCACAAAACAAAAAACAAATAAAAGCCTGTAACTGCAATAAAAGCAAATCAGCACCCGCTAGTCCTCAAAGAGAATGAAGAAACTGCATGAGTGAGTAGGAGCTTAGGCTGTGTCAGTTGCTCTGTGAGCTTCTCCGGAGTGAGGGATGAATGGAAGGCAGGTCCAGACCACTGGTCTGGGTTCTCTACATAAGTGACAGTGAGGTGGTTAGTTTTACCAATTTCTGGCTTGGGCAGCCAGGGCTTTCTAAGTGCTCATAGGATTTCTGTAATCTTGGGAAAGAAAAATGGCTCCCACGACGTTAAAGAGGGGACAGGCAACGCCACAACTGAGATGTAGCAAGGAAATAAGTGCCAAGACGTTCCCTCTTGCGGCAAAGAGAATGGAGGGCGTTTGCTGTTATCAGCACAAAGCAAGATTAGAGTCGGCAAAAAGTGGTCCACAAAACGATACGGACGCCAGCAAGTCTCCCTCTGCCGCTGTCCGGATAAGGTGGAGTCCAGCCTCAGTGGGGAGTCTTCTCCCCAGAGCCCACAGCTTTCCACAGACATGCTATCTCACACCCCATGCTTACAGTTCAGTTCTAACCCTGGGCACTCCAAGTGCTGACTCACGCCTGGCTCGACAGATATAGCCAAGAAAGAGAGGAGGAGACGGAGCTGGCCTGTGACGAAGCAGAAGTCCCTGGGGAAACAGCAACAGTGACTCTCATCATGGGCAAGCACACGGTGTGGGGATGTGTGTTCCTCACCGTACGTAAATGTCTGCGGGCTGAAGGGCAGAAGCTAAGACAGCGTGGGACAGCCAGCAGGGACCGACACTCACTATTGGCATACTCCTGATGTGTGCTTCATACACCGTTTACTCAATCTTGACCCTAAGCCCGGGAAGCCTTTTTTCACTGCTAACTTTTTATAATGACCCCAGACACGAGATGTGCTCCATCTGCAATTCCTGCTGATTGGGCGACACTTGATCTTGTCCAAAAGGCCCAGAAGTGACCCTCCACACTTCAGTAGTGAGATGAACACGGCTGTTGACACAGGAAGCACACATTTGCATGTCCTCTGCCTACCACTTCTAAGGGTAAAAAAATCATGGGAGAACATTTCAGATGTCTGTCAACAAGGAAACGACTAGAAAACCACCATGCTGTGGCAGGCAGTACCTGCTAAGGAAGAGAACGAGACAGCTGTCCATCCTGGCAGAAAGGCACCTGGAGAGAATGTGCACTTGTAGAGTGTGATAAACCTGAGGCTGAAAATAGACACTAACACAACAGTGTGAGATTCTGGAGGCATGCAGGTGTCCGTGTGCACATGTGAACACACACACGGGACAGAACCATTCCAGAGGGCTTTACACTACATGCACCGTGTGTTAAACCTGTGGCAAAAGAGTATGCATTGCTATTTCTATTTCTAGAAACACTTTAAAGCACTGGCTTAGCGACCTAAGATGTGCATCCCTTGACAGAGTAAATCTGGAGGCACCCTTGTCATGCCGTGGGCTAGGAAACATCAAGAGATGTAGACTGTGCATGGCAGGGGTCAATCAGTTCCATCAGCAAAAATGACGATGGCCAATAGTGCTGACTCCCCGCACCCTATGCCCCTCGTCACATCTTTGCCAGACCTGTGTGGAACAGCCTAACTCAGTCCTGAACAGACCAGTGTTGGCCGTCCCCACATCACCTCATCCTAACAGTCTGAATTACAGAGCGTATCTATTTCCAAGGGATAAACGCTGCTAAATCACAGAGCACTTTGTCACACCCAGTCAGATACAGCAATGAGAGGAAAGGACTTAGAATTAAAAGCAAGAGAGCCCTGTTCACTTCCCAGCAAGAAGCCAGCAGTATCTTACCAAGTGGCCTTCCCTCTGTGACTAGGTCAAGAAAGGAGGAAGCAATCTGGTCAGCACCCATCCAGAAAAAAAAAAAAAAAAGCCGTATGTCCTCTCCTATGTGGATCCTAGCTTCAATCTATTTTTTGTTTTATCGTCTGTCTGTCTGTCTGTCTGTCTGTCTGTCTGTCTGTCTGTCTGCCTACCTATCAATCTGTCATCTATCTATCTATTCATTCATTCTGGTATGTATGTATGCATGCATGCATGTATGTATGTATGTATGTATGTATGTATGTATGTATGTATGCATGTATGTATGTAATCTGGAGCACAGGTGTAAGCCAGGAAACTAGAATTGGGACATGGGTGACGGTACACTAAGAGAGGTGGCCACTGTTCTAGGTTGTGCAATATAGATGGGAAAACCTTACTGCTGAAGACACTACACACTTTCATTGCAGCATAAAGAGAAATGACCAGGAAGCTATCTCTGCTGCCTAGCTTTTATAGCGCTAGGAGAGACTACACAGGATTCTGGGGACAAAAGACATCGGTGATCTTAGCCAGTGCTGACTCCTGGACGCTACAATATTGACCAGCAGGCAGGATGTACTTTCTAGCGCACTGGTGGCAAGGCAGTTTATGGCTGTGTTCTAATTACTTCTTGGTTGCTGTGATAAAACACTGACCGAAAGCAACTTTGAGGGAAATGTTTATTTCATGTATTATACTTGCAAGTCACAACCCATCACTGAGGGAAATCAAGACAGGAACCATGGAGGAACACCGTTCTGCTGGCTTGCTCTGTGGGCTGTTTCCCTGGCTCATGCTTAGCTAGATATAGATATAGATCTCATGTGAACACACACACACACACACACACACACACACACGCCTGAGAAATGGTGCCATCCATAGCAGGCTTCTACATTATTAATATGGACATGTCCACATACCGACCTGACGTAGGCAATTCCTTAACTGAGGCTCTCCATCACATGACCGAGGCTGTGCGCGCCATGTTGACACTTACAGTAACCAGAACACCAACCATTCCCTTGATTAGATTTGAGATCTGCTCCACACAAGGAAGGGAGCCTAATACTGTAAGGGAGGCCATACGATCTGCACCTAGGTTATTGTTTTGCTAAGCAGT